ACAGTTCCTAGTGGACAAAGCATCTTCTTTGAAAAAGTAGAAGTACCTTTAGCAGAAAAAAAAAAGATGAGTTACTCTTGTGCCTTACATGTAGAGAAACAGCAAAAGGGAAATAAAAAATACATAGGTAACAGCTCAGAATCCTGAACTTGAGATTAAAATATAAAATAAGATAATTTCCTTTCTATACTAGAAGCTGATGGTCATTCTCAGAAAATCCTGACAGTTGCTGAATTGGTGTCAGGTGATGGCCAAAGAACTAAAACCCAAAGATGTTTTGGCGGGACTTTTTCTTAAGTTTAGGTTGTTCCAAAGATTAATAGACTTATTTTTTTAGTCCTTCACAAGTCATATAAATCAGAAAAGCACACAAGCCTTTCATCAATATAAAGAACTAGTTACTGTACAGAAATAGCTCAGCAGCATTTATTGTGCCAACAAAAAAGTGAGGGGCGGATCCCTTCCACAGACCAAATTCACCAAAATATGGTATGGCACAAGTTGGTTGTTCTTGGTCAGCAGCACCACTTCCAACCACAGTGGTCCCAGCACCTGAATGCCTGAAATGCAAGGAATCATCAAGGACCTTGGAGTGCATGTGCTGGCCACCAGCACCACGGGATGCGCGCGGACACGAGATGTGACAGCCAACAGTTTTACCTGGACTCTGCTCCAGCAGGGACCAACCTGCAGGTGGGGCCTGCACTGGGCCCTCCTCAGCCTGGTTTTGGACATGGAGTTAGGATCATCAGCCTTGTGGGAACCAGCCCCACCAGGAGGGGGCTGGGGTCACACTGCAGACTTGCACTGCTGCTTCTTCTGCAGGCAGTCACACGCTGCCTTCGCTCCAGACAGTGGCAAGCACGAGGGGACATTGTGACAACCTTTTCATACCCAGAGCACCACCCCAGGTGGGACCCTCCAGGTCTCTCTGGCAACTGGCATGACAAGGTGACATAGAAGAAATCCTTCTGTACAATGTGGGAAGGTGGAATCTCTAAATGCAGCATGGCTGGGCAGTTTGATGGCCTTGTGGCATATTTAAGCACAACCACAAACAAGGGGAGGAAGGATGAAAGAACCAGAGCTTAAGCCACAACTGTTTTAAGTTAGTCAAGTGGAAATTCTTGGTCAAATAAAAAAGTGAGCGTATTTAATTGTGCAGGTGTTGAGAGAAGAAAATCAACTCTTTTCAGTGGTATTTGGATTTGAGCAAATCTTAACTTCACGTATGATACACATCTTTTCTCAAAAATCAGATCTCCCTTGCACATGAAAGAATATCAGGGACCTCTGAACTAACTAACCAGAGTGCACAGCTCCAATTTAACTGCTCCAGCAAGCACAGAAAACTCAGAAAAGCCAGATTTCAAGATAAATACAATGTAAAAAACCTACAGGTTAAGGATCAGCTAAGCAAGGCAATTGCTGAGCATCTGTACTTCAACCAGTCTATTTCAATCTGTCAGGAGTGCAAGACTTTCTTCATAAGGTTGGTGGTTATTTCAACATTTTTTGCTCTTAAATAGGCTCAGTTTCTGCAGTGAAATGTGAAAATGCTGTTTGAGACTGATGATATTGCAGTAAACCCTTTCTTTTTTTTCTGATTCTAAAATCAAAGCTAAATCAAGGCTACAGGACATAACTTTGAGAAACCCCATGCAATTCCAATGAAGAAATCATGGTTTTATAAATGGAAAGAAATATTTTAAATATTAATAAATAATTTTAATAAGTTCTGTTGCTCATCTCACATTGCCAAAGTCTGTGGTCCTATTAGAAGTGCAGTGCTTTAATGATCTGCACAGGGATCACATTCAGTGAAGTTCAGAAATAAACAAAAGGCTCTTGGGTGCTCTCCATGGAATGTATCACACCAGTGAGGTGCTGGCTTTGTAACATACAGGAAAAAAGCACTGAGATGTTCACATGAGTATTTCAAGGCATCAGCATCTGTACAAATGCAAAATGCTTTGAATGAAATGATGTGTTACATGCCATCGTATCATACCCAGTTTTCAAACACTCTGTTTTTTGGAGAGAAATTAAGCCCGCTTCTCCCAAGACTTGCTATGTAGTAATCCTGCCTCGTGTGCTGACATGTAATTGGTAGCACATCTCTGTGGTGATGGCTATTGCCAGTAATGCCCGTATTGCCCTGCCCTCTGTATCTGCCCCGTGCTACTGGCACAACAGGACAGCTCACCATGCCACTGTGTGTAGGGATGGGCAAGGACACACAGGAATGTATGTATGGATGTAACTTGGAGGGTACCTAAATTCAGAGCACCTGAAAAGGAAATATCTTCATCCTGCTCCTCTCCATATCCACAGCCTTGTAACAAGAGCTGGCACTGTCCTCTTCTCAGTGACTGTACCTGGTGCTCCTGTGCTTTCTGAGGCAGTCAGCAACCATGCCTAGTGTCAGCACCCTGAGAGCAGATACAAGTTTGCTCTGGGTTTTCCAGCCTTTCTGCAATCACACTCTTCCTCTCTCCCTGCATGTGTTTCCTTACAGCACCCTCCTCTCAGTTCCCACCTGTACCCTGCAGGGTCACCCACTGCACCCCGCTGGACACACAGGCTGTGACTGCACTCTGTTACCTGCTGCAGTGCATTGGCAGGGCTGGGCATCTGCAAAGGCAACCTGAGAGCCCCTCTGGGCATATATGCACACATTTCCTTCACTTAGAAACCCATGCTTGGCTGAGGGTGTCCACTCCCACAGGCAGGACATGGCTGCAGCATACAGTCTGCAAGTACAGCACACAGGAACTGCAAGTAGCCTCGTCATAGCAACAGTAAATTTCCTTATTTTGTCTGTTCTAAGCATTTCTCCTTCTGTATCAAAACACTTCTTTGCCACCAGAAAAGATAAAATCCATGTACAAACACTTGTCCTGGTAAAAGAATAATCTCCAGAAGAGCAAGAGCCCAGGTACACCCAAGTGAAGAACAGCATCCTAGAAGGAGCAACAGAACTGCTCTATGAGCAAGAGCCCAGGGCCAATCCACTATGTGCTGGTGTGAGGCCTGCAGAGGAAGTGCACACAGGCTTCCCAATGACGGCAGCTTGTCTATTGCAGAGCCCTCTGCCCCCTTTCTGAACTGCTTTTACACAACAGAGCCAGAGAGAATCAGTGGAGTCTGAGTGTTTCCAGCTACACACACAACTCCGACCCATCTAAATGGCAAGTTTACAGAGTAATGAAAAATGGCAGCAGATCTGCTTTTCCACACTTGCTGAGTTTCAAAATTTGAGGAAAACCAGCTGGTGTTCCCATGTCTTTGGAATCACTAGATTCAGGAGCCCTTTACCTGTCCCATAAGCTGGCAGTAATTCAAGTCCACATCTGTAAGCACCAGATTTACTCCACACTCAAAAGCCAAACAAGCTGTACTCACTGCTCATTTGCACTCTGATTAAAGCTGCAAAAACAGCACAAGAAAAGCAATTAGCCATCCGAGATAATCACAGTTGTCAAGGGACTAAATCCTTCCTCTTCAAAAGAGAAGTTCAGTTTTAGGTGTGTCTTACCTCTCATCCAACTCTGCAGCACATTGAAGTGCATGTAATAAGGTGGGCAGGCAGTGACACTCGTGACACTCTAAGTGCAAATAAAACGAGGATTCAGCTGCCACTTCAAACAGCAGCTCTCAAACCTGAGGCAGTTCAGGAGTCAGCAGCAAAGAGCCTTTACACAGCCTTTACTTATCTGGGTTTCCTTTCTCAGAGATTTCATTCAGACCATCTCTCTGGTGCTGTTCTTAACCTGATCTTTCCACAGAAGAGAGACAAAAAAAACCTATATAGCCCTATATGCTGCTGGAGTACTTACACCCAGTCACTGGTCACTGTAACAACTGCAGCGTACGAGGCCGTGCTGCTCACTGGGCACAGCACAAACACGATACTGACTGACTCTGCCAGTCTGGTCTGCTGTGCTGCTGAGAAAATGTAACAGCACTACAGTGCAGCTGACAATGCGGCCATGAATCCAAAAGACGTGTAGGAAACACGGGTAATTAATGAAAGATTGCAGCAGCAACTCCAGTCAAAGCAGAATGGTCACTTTTCTAGCTCAAGTCACGTTTAGCTTCACAGCCTCATTTTTCCTGATGGGGAATTGATCTCAGCCTGGCATTCTATCAGACTGAAGACCACTATTACCAAATAGTTCTAACACATAGATGGAAGAACTAAGGCATGCAAGTGGAAAGATATATAAGCACTTAAGAGTGCAGAATGAGTGGTTTAGGAAAAGAAAATACATGGTTTCTTCATGAATGTTTCCTCAAATTGCACGGATTTTTTCTTACTCAAGTCAGTGAATTTGCTTATAACCAACAAATTAACATAGTTTTGCGCTGATTTTTACTAGGGTGGAGTTCATTTTCCTCACAACATCTGATAAAAATCTATGCTTTAGATTTGTGCAGGTAACAGGATGCATAGCACACAGACATTTTACTTATTGCTGAGTTCATGCATAGTGACGAGGCCTTTTTGGCTCCTCATAGCATGCCACCAGGAAGGAGGCTGGGGATGCGCAAGGAATTGGGAGGGAACACAGGATAGATGACCCCAGCTGACCAAATTGATATTCCAGACCATATGGCATCACACTTAGCATATGAAGAGGGAAGAAGGAAGAGGGAACATTTGGAGTGATGATGTTTGTCTTCCCAAGTCACCATTTTGAGTGATGGGGCCTGGCTTTCCTGGGATGCTGAACACCTGCCAGACCATGGGAAGCACTGAATTAATTCCTTGTTTTGCTTTGCTTCTGTGCATGGCTTTTGCTTTCCATATTAAACTCTTTGTTTCAATGCACAAGTTTTTCCCTTTAACTCTTCTGATTTCCTACCCCTTTCCATTGGTGCTTGGCTGTATTGGACTAAACCAAAACAGGCTGATGAGAGACCAAGAGGCGGGGCTGGGAAGCTTGTGGAACCACATCTGACTTCTTCCCGCTGCCCGGGCAAAAGAAAAATCTTACCTTAAAACACTGCAACAGAAGTGCCAGTCTCTACTTTCCTTTAGGCCTTCTTAAACTTCAGAAATAATGCAGCAGATTCAGCTAATTCAACGTGTCAGCATTTGACAGCACATTCAGGAACCTGAGAGTAATTCTACAAGAGAAATTAAAAGCACCAATTAGTCATTGCATATGTTGTGCAATATATCTTGTGCTTAGAACTGTTGATGCCTGGTAGAGCCATGCTGCTGAAGAATAAAGAAATTACCACAAAAATGAAAGGCTAACTCATTTTTTGTTTCTTAGGTGAAATGCTCAAGCACATTTTGGCTACAGCATCATGGGGAGAAAGCATGCATCTTGCAATAGCTGTGTCACCCTGCCTTCCCAATTTAAATCTTTGTTCAAACAACAATCCATGTGAATGCACAGAAACAAAGCTCCAGGCATGTCAGGATACACAAACCACACCAGTTACAGAAACACAGCAGTAAATGTTTGTAACCTGGATTAGTTTGAACTGGGAAATGCATCAGAAGCCCACGTGAGCTAAGTATTAGCATGTTATAAGCGAGGATCTTGATGCAGGTGAAAGGACACGTGGAGGTACTATATAAACTACAGGAAAAGGAGAAACATTTACAGATGGACTTGGCTCATTTCTCTGGATGGGCTTTTCTCAGAATTCTCATCTTGCAAGCACTCAGCTCATAGTGAGTAAAGACACTCCAGCTGCAGCAGCTCATGCCTGTACCACTAAGGCAGTGGTGTTCCTCCACAGCAATTCGGCACTAAGGTTTAGATACCACTGAGGTTTAGATACTTGTTTTTCAGCTCCAACCCATTTGGTGTGTTTAATCGTCCAAATGAGCAAACTTCCCGAAACTAGAGGCACATCCACACACACACAGAGCAGGGTTCCTTGCACTGAGATACCCTGCCTCACTCACAGCCACACCCTGAGGCGGTGCTGATGTGTGGCATCAGCACCATGCACCGTGGTGTGGCACAATGATGCCACTTTGACACGGAGTGATGGGCCAGCAGAAAAACTTACCTATATCTAGCATGGTTACTCAAGAGAGTTTTAGGGATTATTTTCAGGTAAAAAACACTTCTTGTCATCCAAGTTGTTAAGTACTTCCTTAAAGCATTGGTTCGAACATAAAAAGGGACCTCTGTCCCAGCTTGTAGAACTGTAAGAGATGGGGGCTTAATGGAGTGCAAGCAAATCATACCAGGTAAAAATTAGAGTTTTCATTATAAATTAATAAAAAAACTAGCATTGAAAAACATGTCACAGGCCAATCTGCCTACACAGACAAATATATTGTTCTAATTCTACACTGTTTACAAATCCTTAAAGGCCTCCTAAGGGTTGAGTATATTCATAAACTAAAATAATAAGTAGCATTTGAAGGGAAACTACAAGGGTCCATGTGTTTAGGAAGAGTGGAGGGGGAAACTAGGTTGGACACCTACATTTGTTAAAAAACCAGAAATCTAAAAGCCCCAAGCTTAGATAAACTTTAAATTAGTATTCAGCGTTCTTAAGTTACTCCAAGGAAATGGCAGTCAATTTCGTCCCCCCTCCTCTTTCTAACACACTTTCTGAATACATTTACTTTTAGCTATTTATGTAAAATATGAATGTTCTATGAAGTTATTACCTATCCATAGTACTTTTAAAATGTCTTTCTTATCATGGGGGTATATTCTAAGCTGATTACAAACATCTCCATTTACATAATAATAAAGATTGCAATTGCATAAGGAAACTTGAGATTCTAGGAAATAAATTAGATCCTTAGAGCTCTGTATTCACAGATTATAGGAAGTACCACAATCATTGCTTTTCTCTATAACCTCCTTCACTATACTTCTGTATAAAGCAGCACTTCTGTATAAAACACTTTCCAGATGTTCAATCAATAGTTATACACCCTGGACAAAAAGGACAAAGGACACAAAAACCTGACTTTCAAACCCCTGCTGCCATGTGTCCCTATATCATGGAGTCAAGTCTCATGGGTTGATTTTTTTTTCCAACACATTTCACATTCTGCTCCTTGTCTCACAGCCAGCACAAACTCCATACCAGCTACTCTGTGTCATTTAGCTGAAGAGAGTTTATGCCCACACCTGTTCCAAAACAGCCTGAAGACACAGTAACTGTGCAACACCAAAGGCTAGAATCAGGACACAGCTTGAGTCCCAGGATGAACTAATAACAATGTTGGGGAAATTGCTCCTTTTTGTCAAAGAGGACTGATCGAAAGTCAGAAATCCATTGGGAGCTAAGATTTATCACATACCTGACTGTTTTCCACACCAGATGGAAAGAATGCTTCAGTTTCACTTTTTACCCCAAACAAATCACAGCATGCATGTGTACACAATCATCTGACTCCTACATATCCAAGCACGACCAAAACGAAAAACAGTACACCATACACCCAGTTTTTCCCTCAAGGGGAGAACAAACCACACCTAACAGGTATTAATAAAAACACCAAACATTAAAAAACATTCTGTTACAATGGGTAGTTAAAAAAAAAATATATATGTAACATTAAGCAAAAATTTAATCTGTTCAACATGGATCTATGTATCTCACATAAAAAGTAATTGTTTTTCCAAGTTGCCTCACAAATGGTAATCTCATTTCATTTCCAGCCAGAAAATTTACTCAGTGATTAGCATAACTCAGTATTGAGCACAAGGAAAGAAAAGCAGAAATGAAAACAAACATGGTAAAACAGTTAAGCAGAGATATACACAACAGGAGTGCATTTACTGATAAAGTTCTAACTTTTACACTAAGTTTTAACCTTCATAGCATTTTAGATTTAAGCTAAACATGCGATGTAACAGATAATAAAGTCCTTAAAGTCCCAAAGACATGGTGTTAATTTTTAACAAAAGGTCCTCACATTTCACACCATACTTCACTAGCCTGACAAGTTCCCTGCAGATGGGTTGCACATGTATTCCATCTTCTCTCCTTCTCCATTCTAACACTGTTCATCACCTCCGCCCACATGCTCCTCCAACACACACACTTCCCTCCAGGAGACAGCAGCCTGATTCACTTATCTAAAGAGGAATTTATGCTGGCCTGAAAAAACACCAGCCCCCTCAACCGCGAGGACATGCCTGGATAGCTTACTGAGATATGCCTCAGATGCTGTGTCCAACAAGCACTGCTAAGGCAGCTAGAGATGTCCTGTGCAGCACCAGAGGGGTAGTTACATTCTCGGTGTGAAGGAGACATTATTTTAAAGTAAATTTGAATGTAACATTTTCAGTGGTGAAAGGCACTTCCTGGTGAACATGTTCTACATTTTGGGACAGAAAGCCTTTAAGTAGTCAAAAGCACTATTCAGGCTTGGTACATTTCACTGACAGAAGTTCTCATAATCACTAAAGGAAATAACTAAGGCTATGTCTGAGTGGCACAAAGCACCGTGCTAATTACCGCCTCAGAGACACTAATTAATCCGGGCAGGGCACCACAGTAACATGACTGCTCTGCCTCGGGAATCTCCCAAAGTTGATGTATCGCCATTTGGATCCCCGCCTCGCACCCCAAGCGGTCTCTTTCACACGAAAGAGTCCTGCACCAAAGATGAGCCCTTCACAGAGGGGTGTTTCTCCCAGAGACTGTGTTTTATTGAAATCTGCGATCTTCAGCACACAACACGGAGCTGTACACTGACCAATTCTTGACAAACAGTAAAGTAATCGACAAGCAATTACTGGGCATCCTCAGCTGCTAGGAGGAGGAATGTGAGAGGGTATAGCTACTGACAGTCTCCTGGGCTCCAGAAGAGAAGGTTCAGGTCAGCTCCTCAGAGGACATGGTAATGGTGACTATCTGACAATCAGCTGCGGCAATTCACGCCACATTTAATGCACACCAAGGAGAAACCCTCTAGCACTAGTGTAAATGTTCTCCATTTAGTAATCTCCAAGTAGCAGATAATGGTGTGGTTGTTAGCAGGGTACTTTAAACTTTCTGGAGATAAAACAAGTCCTGGGCTAAAGCCACGACACCTTATCTACTGTACCTGATGCCACCTCTTGGTACCTACACATGCTCTTCACGTACTGAAAATGGACTTTGATCTTCTTTTGGCTTGTTAAAACATATACAGTAAGGAATAATGTACTCAGCAGTAGCTTAAAGAACCCGTCCCAAAAGGAACTGGTCTTTGAACAACTAAAGAGAATAGGGAAGGGGAACACCTGACACGTAATACAACCTGCAGCAGAACACATACCTGTCCACAATAAAGAAGAAAAAGACACAGAAGGGTCATTTCCTGTGGCACAAACCAACCAAAGTCAGGGTTACTGCCATGCAGAACAGACAATTTCAGATTCTGAAAAGCCCCTATTCAGTCCCCTCTTTTTCCTCCCCACAAATACATATTTAAAAATTATTAATTTCCAAAACAATCCTGTTCTTATGGCCTCTCTCAACAGACACAGACCTTCTGTAAAACACAGTCCCATTAATTCAGGATTTGCTTAAGTGAGATGGCTCACATTGCAGGTAAATGGGATACAGCAGCTCAGCTGGAAGCTGGCAGGCAAGGCTGGCTTCTCACGTGTCTCTCCGTTCTGCACAGAGGTCACAGCACACGGAAGGGCAGCTTCACCTTGGGTTTGTACCACAGTGTGCAGCACTTGGTGATGGGTTTCAACACGCAGGCTTTTCTTGTAGCAAAAGCACAGGGACAACTGTCTAACAGAGTGCATTGCCTTGAGACAGGGAGAAATCACATCGATCAAACAGTACCAAGAGTCCTTGAGATTTTCATGGTCTCAGCAGAGAGGACAAATACTCAAATAAGTCTGCCAGATGCAGCATAGATTAATAAAACACTATAAAAAGCAAAATAATTCACTTATGGAAAATTAAATTGCATTGATAAATAGATGTTAAAGTAGTAGTTTTCACACTTACAAGGTACTTACAAGTGCTTATACACTTACAAGTACTTCAGCTCATGAAAAATAGAAAGGTATAATAAAAGACATTTGCTACCCAACCCATTTCAAAAATATTCACAAATTTTGTCAAAACGTATGATGTACATCTGAGTTTAACACTGCCCAATAAAAGGCTGTCTCCTTCAAAATATTTTTTTTACCCACAGGCTGACTGTAATAAAAGTGACAATATAGGTGAACACTTCAATCTCCAAACAACAAGAACTAGTTAAGATGGTGACAAAACCCAGCAAGCCATGCAAACATGCACTGGATCTTAACAGCTTTAGCTGTCACGCCAGGTGAAGTTAGCTCAGCATTCAGTGGACACTCAGAGGTCAGACATGTTCCACTGCCTCCTCCAGAACCCTCCCTACAGAAACTGTGGAGCTCAAGCTGAGCTTTGTGAGAGGAGACCTTAGCTTGGTAGGACAAACAATACCATGACATAACCACTACTGCAAGGGAGATCTTCAGCTGGCAGATAGAGATCTGAGTCTTAACTAGAAATGGGCAAAGTTCTGAAAAGAAACAGAATGAAGATCCACTCCAACAACCTAGGCTGCTGCCAGAGATGAAATCTCACTGACAGTGCTAGAATTCACCCAGAACTTTCTTTTCTCCCATCTGCAGGGAGACTGCTGCTCTGGGATTTCACCTACATAGGGAATCACACCCAGTGACTGAGGAGATGAAATCATTAACACACCCAAGTTTTGTTTGTGGGGATTTTTTTTTCCACATATGCCCATGTACAGACAGACATAATTCCTTGTTCTATGACTACAAAACTAAGCTACCAAATCTTAGCCCAGATTTAAAAACATAATGTATTTTCTATGGCTCCAAAGCAGAATGTGTTTTACAAGGCCAGTTTAGATGGGTTACTTGATGTTAGGAAAGCAATGGAGGGAGAAAAATGTGTCACAACAGAAGCACTGGTGTGAAGTAACCTAAAAAAGTGGTTCAAGATAGAAGGAAAACTGGAAAAATCCTCAGCTACTGATCTTCTCCCTTTTAACTTTCCTCCATACACCAATTACATCCTGTACATCTCTTACCCAGTTATATCCTTTGCTTGTTTACATCACCATATCATAAAATACTGCTGATAAGCAACAACAGACATGATGAATCTGTGCTCCTTCCTTAAGGCAAGCAGAGATTAGGAAAGGGCATGAAGGTATTTCTTTTGTCTTGCAATGAAAAGGAACTGCAAAGGCAGGGAATAAAAACTGAAAGGGATCATAAAACACTATTTTGCTTGATTTGTTCCCAGGTGAGACAGTCTCTCACATGTCTCGAACACGATGTTCCTCAGAACAGCTGCTTGCTTACTCCTGTAGTCCCATGTCAGCTGGACAAGCAGAGGAAGGGAGGGAAAGGGGCCCAGAAGCTTTTAAAAGGCAGAAAATTTTTCACTAAATATCTTAACCTTTAAAATTCAGTGAAAAATACAGAATTGATGGGTGTTGTTTCCAGGAGCATCAGACCTGAAACACTAATAACCTTTATGATTCCCAAAAATGTTTAGTTGCTAGATTTCAAATGACAAAAGCAAATATCTGTAAAAACTTCTCTTTGTGCTCTTTCCCCATGCTCACAGAATATGAAAACATTCCCCAGATGTCAGTCATCAATACACATCTTCATGGGTGTAACACAGCTATAGCTAACAGTAGGCAGCTAGTCTGCTCTAGAAGCATGCCAAGAACCTGCATCTTAGGGAATTCCTGTCCTTCACATATCCATCTCCATACCTAGGCCTGAAGGCTGAAGCTCCCCTTACTTAGGGACAGGCAATATCCTGAGACTTCAAGTCAGAACGAAAATCAACAACAGAGCTCACATCTTCCTCTGACACCAAGTCAAACTCTGGACCAGGTCACTCCTTTGCAGCTTGGGCTTTCCATACACGTTACCTAGCTGCCTTCAGAGATTTTCAAGTGGATCTTACAACCATCTTCCTAGTGATATTCTAAAGTTTATATTCCTAAAGGATGAGAATTTTGGAAGAATTGTGGTAGACTAGAGTTCAAAATCTGGCACTGTTTGGGAATGATCCTCAACACTCCTGGTAATAGCTCTGTGGAAGTTATGACACTGAACCAAGATGAGGAAAAAAGTCTCCATCTTATTTCAATCTAAAGCTCTGAAAACGCAATGAATTTATGTACACCAAGCTGCACAGTGCCATTGGGTGGCACACTCCTCACTGCAGCAGATTGCAACAAGAAGGGTCCTCAAAAGTCACGTATTGCTGAGAGCCATTGACACAGCAATACTGTTTCCCTTGTGAAAAGGGAAAAAAAACCGCACATGTGACAGCTGTTTCATCAGATGTTCTGAATCAATTACTCGAAGAAGAGCTAAAACTAAGTTTATTCTGAATTTATCTCCTGTAAAGCAAACTAATTCAGAATAACTACTCTATGTTCCTATGCCTTCAAGAGCACTATGTTCTAGACAAAACAGTAAACCAGACATTTTAGATCAGAGATGGTAGACAAAAAAAAAGCATTTTCAAGGATTCAATGACCAGGAAAATTAAATAACCAAGTATATGGCCTCCAATGGAAAGAACAAAATATTCCCCAGAGTTCCACCACCAGCACTAAACAGAACAGCTTTCCTCAATTAAACTTCAAACCCAGTCATGGTAAGACATTTGTCAGTGTGCCTAAGCAAAGCAGCTTGTCCTAGCATAAGGAAGACAAGGGGAGGACAAGCAGGATACCAGGCACTGCTGGTCAGGATGTTCTTCTCTTCTGAAACTTACATGGTTTGCATATACAGCAATGGCATCAATTAGGACCTCTACTAAAGGCAGCATACACAAATGTAAATATTTTTGTAATCAGAAAATGGTTTGGCTTGGAAGGGACATTAAAGATGTCTAGTTCCAATCCCCCTTCAGGGACACCTTTCACTAGACCAGTTTGCTCCAAGGTCCATCCAGCCTGGCCCTGAACATTTCTTGGGATGAGGCATCCACAATTTTTCTGGGAAATCTGTTCCAGTGTCTCACAACCCTCATAGTAAAGAATTTTTTCCTAATATCTAATCCAAATCTACATTCTCTTTCAGTGTTAATCCATTCCCCCTGTCCTGTCACTACATGCTCTTGTAAAAAGTCCCCCTCCATCTTTCTTGTAAGCTCCCTTCAGAGACTGAAAAGGCAGCAATTTGGTCACGCTGAAGCCCTCTCTTTTATAGGCTGAACAATCCCAATTCTTTCAGCTTTTCCTCATAGGACAAGTGCTCCATCCCTCTAACCACATCGCTGTCCTTTCTCTGGACTCCTCCAGCAGGTCCATGTCCTTCCTGTGCTGGGAGCCCAGAGCTGGATGCAGCCCTGCAGGTGGGGTCTCAGCAGAGCAGAGGGGCAGAATCCCCTCCCTGCCCCACTGCCCACACTGCTCTGGATGCAGCCCAGCACACGTTTGGCTCTCTGGGCTGGGAGTGCCCATGGCTGGGTTATGTCCAGCCTCTTATCCACCAATATTCCTGTCTTTTCTGCCAAAAATTAAGTAGAGAGAGTCTCTTTAAAATATTAATACACTCACTCTTTCCACATACAGAACACCACTGCTCCTCCCTCCAAAACCTTAAACACTAGATTTTCATGCTCCAGCTCACACACATTAAGGTTGTAGTCCAACAACAATCTTTCAAAGTAGATTGGGGAAGACACACGTGTGTGCAGTGTGATTGTCGCTGTATGTCTTTTTTGAACTGCGAAAAAATGTCACCTACATGCAAAAGTTCTGTCTACCCACACAGTGCATAAAACATGAAGGTCACTAAGCAATGTGAACCTCAACCAATTCCGCCTGAAAAGTTGCAGGATCTCATTTGCGAGGGCAGCCAGCAAAAGGCAGAGGAGGGAGAGCACAGAATGGAAGTGCAGATGAAAAAGTCAGCACAAGCTTTGCAACGCTCTTTTATCAGCTCAGCGTGCTCGCTGGGTCACCATGGATGAAAAATCACCAATTTAATTGTTGTCCCACCACCGTTTCTGCCAAGCAGAGTTTGGATTGTGTGGGGCTGTCCGGGTCGTTGCAGCAGTTTGCAAACAGTTTCTGCACCATAAAGAGACACCAACCAGGCACACACACGCACATTTAATACTCCTTTGACATGAAGCATTGCTATTCAAAAACAAATCCCCACTTCAAGCCACAAGTACTCTCCCATTTAGATATATTTTAAATAGTCCATTAGATTGTAAATCCAAAACCTACGCAGTGACACGAATCTGATCTGATTTCACTATTTCCCGAAAGAGGAAAAAAAAAAAAAATCAACAAAACAGTATTAAAAACTTACAGGGCTGTGAGTCCACCGTTTCTCTCTGGCACACGGTACATTATTTAACTGCACTGCCTGAAACAGTAACTTGACCTCTCTGGGAAGGTGGGCGGTATTATTCAAGCTGAAACATTAGAAACATGCATAATTACTCTGGGTATTTGCCACGCATTCTTTCATCCGTAAACCAATATGAATGGAAAAGTCACACTGACACTCCAGGCTTAGATCATATCCCAATCATCAATTACAAAGATTTTTTCATGAGGTCTCAGGAGAACAAAATTTCTTAGGGCCAGAGAAATTTCCTCTGGACTTAACTGTGCATATGTTACCAAGATAAAATGTCAGCGCTGCCAACTCAAAGCCAAGACTTCAGTGGGCTAAACCATGAATTTTGAGCTTTCTGCCTCACCACTGACAACACTATAATTTTGTTTTCCTTCCACAAGCCCATTGCACCCATTCATGTGGATGTTCACTTCTGAGGAGCTGTAGCACCAACCACATCCCACCATCCATCATCCACCCGTCCCTGCAGGGTGATGCCTCATACACCTGTGCAGTGCCTGCCTGTCCTCAGCAAACCCAGGGCAGAATCAAACTATCCAGAGGGCTGGGTGGGATAAAGACCCACTGGGAGGTAAACAGGCAGATGAAGCACGAGGAAAAGAGACCGTGCTTGTTCCTGACTCCAGGGGCACCTGCAGCTCACATCATAGCTGCCTGTGCTTATGGCAGCTCCCCCTTCACACCAAGCATACCAGGTGTCCTCTGCAGAGAGCCTTGTCTTCCCTTCAAGGATAAAGCAGCATTCAAGTTTTGGGCGGCAGAACCATAAGAAAAATTAAAAACTACAAGCCAATATTCACAGTTGGAGCTGTGAAATATACATTTTCAGTACTTTTGAGGCTTTCAGTATTTGTAAGGCTAACAACACAAAATGCAATTCTTTCTAAAGCAAGAGAAAATGCTGTTCACGAGACAGATGAACAGCACACACGTGTCAAATAATAGTCTTCCCTAGCTAAGCTCTCAAAACTTAGCTATAAGATTCCTCAAAATCAAGACCAAGCTGCACTCCTGACCAGGTGAGATGCAGCAATATCCATAGCTGTTCTGAACCCAATTGCCCCTGAACTTAATTTCATATCAACATCTACATGTTGCTGTTCCTGGCAAGTGATGTGACTAACCCTTTGCTACAATGGAACTTCCAGCATTCTTGATTCAGCCCATTTCACTGTTTGGTACTTGCCACAAATACATGTGGAATACAAGGTATTCATTTCAGCTAATTCCCCAGGTATTAGAGATAATGCATGTATCTGGAACACTGTTCCAGCAAAGATACATGAACAATTCTACAATCATTCTTCTGCTTTGCTTTTCAAGCAGTCCAGCTCCCTGCACCTCTTGTTCATCATTATATACTTCCAAAACTTTGGAAATCATAGTAATGCACACAGAGAAGCACGTCTTGATATTTTAAGTCAAGATTTTGTAGTATCAAAAATGTGTTTTCCTTTTATTCAGGATATCCATGAATGTCAGAGAATACAAGTTGCCACAGTAACCTCATAGAAAGTAAAATTTCAGGGCAATGTTTTCCACATGTATTTGAAATCTCAAGATATGAAAATTGGTCAGTGTTAATTTATTTTGACTATATAACCAGAACTTGCTAGAGATTTTTTGTAAGTTTTAAATGTTTTTGTAAACAATGGTTTAGACAGAATGCAAAACCTGTACTTTCTTACACACGTGTGAAAAACGTGGACGGCTTTATTTTGAATATTATCTCCCTCTTCTACATAAACTAAAAAAGAATTAAAAGATGACAGAGCGATCATCCTAAGCCTTACCTAAAGTATCGATCCAAAAGATCTGAGGTATGCAATGAAAATGCTTTAAGTCAAACAAAAGTGGCAAGAGAGGAAACAGAACAAAGATCTGAGTTTGCATCAAATGTTGGTTGCAGTCATTTAATTACCACTGTTCAAGAGCAGGAATTTCTCCAGTCTGTTTCAGTATTTGCTATTCCAGTAAACACAAATAAAGGGAAAAGTCAACATTATAGTTTTAAGATTCCAGTTTCAAAGTAGTTTGGTAACAGCCGTCCCCAAGTCATTCTCCTGGGAAAGAGCTGCTAGAGAACAGAGTTAATTAGGGCTTGTCAGTTAAGCTCTCTCTCCTGCTTTGTTCAGAAAACCTGGACAAATAGCTTATCCATGGATAGACCTGGGGGCTTTTCACAAATATTTTGTATTCCACAGCAAGCTTAGGCACATTGCATAAACATCTGGAGTACGCACTAGAAACATGAACACCTCCCTGCTCTGCCCTGCAGCGAGTGTCTTCATGGCACTTTCATCAGCAGTGACAGAAAGAAAACAGTATTATTGCAGGCTTCCAAAAAAATGTTGTCATGTATAGCCTGTCTGTATGCACACGAGAATTTGGGGTAAAAGGGAGGAGGGGTAACTCAGGTGCATAAACAAGTGTTCCAGTCTTGCTTCTCAGTACTTAAGTTCTGAGAGAAAGAAGGAAAGAGAGCCTTGTATCATTATTAAAAGAGAGACTACTTCCAAAACGATTGGAGACTATACTGCTTTGGGGGAAAACAGCAGTAAAAGCAGTAAAAAACAGTAAAAGCAGTTAAAATATATGTTCATATTTTCTCTGGAGGTGCAGTCTAGTTTGGAAGTGTTCTTAGTACACAGAAGTTAAGACAAAGGCAAATCATCTTGAGGTACTCCAGCACCACCCCAGACCAAGAGCATAGAGAAAACCAAAGAAACTGTATGAAACCGGGGCACCTACAAAACGTCCCTGCTCTGTGACCATGGCAGGGCCCACCGCCAATAAACCATTTGCTCACAAAGGAGCAGATACTTTGATACCACAGTATTTTCACAGTATAGCTGGATTGGAGCCAATAATCTACTTGCTCCAGGAGCCAAGCTATATATAAGGAGTGAAAGGCACACAGTTCTCTCCAGCATGCTTTCCCCAAAGTCCTAGAACAGCAACATCTGTGCTTTCAGTTTCACTGCAATTCTTCAGACATCTTTGCAGTCTATCAAGCCTAACCACTGGGCATTTTTTTGTATATTTATTTTTCAAATCCATAGAGATGTACCTTACCATACATTACAGCAACTGCATAAACTGGTGCAGTTTAGCTACTTCAAAATATTACCAGGAAAACAGTCTTTCTCTTCACTGCTATTACACAGGAGAGCACTGAAAGCTTCTGGTAAGAAAGACAAAAGCAATAGCAAACAACCAGTGTGATAAACTACCATTCACATTTTACTCCAAGGAGCAGTAATTAGTCATTTTAAAATACACAAAATCCATGCATGTGTTAAACATGAAAGAAGCTGTCCTGAGAGCTGGATGCTCTGAGATCACATTTCAAAGCAGTGCAGTATTATTCTGTTAATCTTTTGGGAAAACCAGCACGGATATTCTGCTGCAATGTAATTAAGGCAGGAATTCCAGCCCCTCCATTGTGACCTTCGCAGAAACCCCAGGGGTCAAGAGCAGTAGCCTGTACCCTGCTATGCTAATATAGCCGTACTATAAACAAAAAAACCTCCTGCAACACGAGTACCAACAAGTTTCAGGGAGCAAAAGGTGGGGGGAACGTGTAGATAAACGCAAAGGTACTCTGCCACAAAACAGCTTCAACCACAACCATAAGTGAAAAGTTATTTTCCCAAAGGTAGTTGCAGAAACTTCATTTTTCCTGTGTAGGTGGAAAAAGGCTGACATATTTACTTTCACGTTTTATTATCAACAAATATCCATGCTCATCAAAACACTAATTAAAGTCTTGCTTTCTTAGAGCAATGTTTAGTGAACAAAATGAAGCCAAGGAAAAGGCGACTTCTTGCTGTAACAGCGAAATCCTACACAGAGAGAAAGAGGGCTTGGAGAAAATGTTGGGTTTCTTAGCCCTTGAGCCACAGTCACTCCTTGGTGAAATCCCGTGGGCACAAGCAAAGCCGCAGCCTGCAGTGACAATGCTGATTGTCACCCTTCATACTGCAGCAGTCATGCCCTTTGTCCCCAACACGTCCCAGCAGTGAGCGACAGGGCTGCACCATGCAAAGGACAGGCAAAATGTGTAAGGTGGGAATGGCAGCACCCAGGCCCTCTCTGGTGGAAACTTTAACTGAACTCTATCCAAAATTCTCGGCACAAGCTGTCTCGGGTGGGCCAGCATCAAATCACGAAAAGAGATAATCAGGCGGGTTTTTTTCTCATTCTTACCCTTTGCAATCTAAGAACAGTGAAAGAGGACACCCCCTAGCAAGAAGATTGCTAATTCATTCTTCCTCACCTAGGCATTGCAAAGCAGCTAGCTGAAAAGTCCCTGCTTATCTAGGAATAAGCACTTGATAGCATTTTAAGAACGGGCTTCATTTTTTCAAAAAAAAGCCATTCAAAAGACACAACCATCTCAATATTTTCTCTATCAGCAGCGAGGAAAAGTTAAAGAAAATAACCATCGTGCTTGCCTGACTAATTTTCAGGGCACCAAGTTACCCTGCACAGTGAGTCTGGTGGGAGGTCAGCATGCCAAAGGCATAGATGCTTTCACACGTATAATGAGACGAGATCTCATCTCTCTTAGTTGAACAAGTTTCCTTCAAATAAACTATTTCTGAACAAGTTGCAACAGGGTAGAGATGCCTTGCTGTAAGGGCAGGACCAGAATGCAGTTGCAAGTGACATGCCAGTTTAAGACATGGGTAGCTAAGGCACTTTAAAACCAAGGAAGCAAGACTGTTGTTTTAAGTGTCAGTTATCTTGGATCAAAGGCTAAAAAAAGCTTCTTGGATATAGGACCAAAACAAGAGATGAGTCACACAGAAAAAAACAATGGAAAAACACTCCACAAAGAGTTAGCACACTTTTCACACCATGGATCTCAGGCAATCTGCAAAGACTGCTCTGTTAGTACTATCACAATACAAATAATAAAAGTTCTAATAGGAAAAGTCAAAACTCTGGGCTGCCATTAGGCAGACACATCCAGAAGTCAAGTATTCTCTGAAACATCTGCACTCAGCTGTAGCTTATTGGAGCGGCAATGGGACACCACAATCATTAAAAATGTAAATAAAACATCCACCTACCTGAACAAAGACTCAGTAATCCAACATACGTTTCTCCTTTCCATTCCATTTATGACAGATGTCCCTCATTTTAGCTAGGACAAAAATCCATGAAGTTATTTGAATGAATATTTTGAGTTTCTTTTTTTTAATGAGGAAGGACAAACTATAAACTTGTGCCACACCCAAAGTAGCTCTAATCTCATTGCCCTTTTCCAGTTACACTAGTATCTCCCAGCACTACTTCTCTTCGTCTTTGCTTTACCCAGATTGAAGCAGGAACACCAAGACCACATCTTCACAACTGCATGAATACAGCTGGGCAACAGGCCAACAGGACAAACACAGGCAATGGAAATATTTTTTTTCTGTGTGTTATCACCTTCTAGATACACAGAGCTCAATGCACTGGAGATGCGCAGCCTAGCTAGCTGTGTTTTCTTACACAAATTTTTCATCCCTTTGTCCCCATCCTTTTCTTTCTACCCACCCACAAAGCAATTTCAGCCACCTATCTCCCCGCTGAAAAAAAAATAAATTATAGTTTCTGGTCTAACAGCACACTAATTTCATTGAAATCTGAGAAGCAAGATTGATCTACTTCGTTTGAACCTGAAGACACCTGCAGCTCAGTCTCAGGTGAGCAATTCAGAGCCAATAGTAAGAAAATGAAAATGTCAAGGACCAGATACTTCCTTGAAACAAACCAGATCTTGTGCTGGGAAAACAACAAGAATACTATTTGTTTTGCTTTCTTTCCTTTTAAAGTAGGTATCGTAATTATAAGACACATCATTCCAGGTTAATGAGCCTCTCTCTTCAAGCTCCTCTCCTGGAGGAAGAGCTTGAAGTCCTTCTTTGGAGAAGAAATCAGGAAGAGGTCATTTAGAAGACCCTGGCGATGAAGCAGGTAGGATCAAGAGCACTGATGTCCAGAACCCAGCCTGAGTAAGCAGCTCTGGTTGATTACCAGGCACTTCACACCAAGGCTATTCCATCTGAAGAATATTACAGAGGACAAAAGGCATAGGGACACATTTCCTACTACATTCTGTTACTTCTTCTCAAAAGCAATAAAATGTTTTTGAATGTAAGAATGAGGGCAAGTCCTACCGTACTTGGAATAAACACACTTGTGCACATTCCTTCCTTTCATGCTGTGTACATCTCTACTTGGCATTGCAAGCTGTTGCAAGATGACTCAGCTTGTTACTGATTAACATCTCACTTTATGTCTTTTCTGTGTGCCTCAATCCAACTCTTCTCACATCCATCAGGCATCCTGACACCATGCATTTCTTTCCATTTTGCGCTCAGGTGTACCAGACAAACATGAACCCAACAGCCCAGAGTTCACTATGTACCACCAATTTTCTTCTCCCCTCTCCAGAGCACAAACCCCCTCCTTCAAGCTACACAGTGCTGCAGCACAAGCCTTTCACATCCCCAAAGGCACTGAAGGCAGCAAAGCAGGGTTTTCCACTGCAGATTTCCATGCCTTCCTCTCCTTCCATATGCAGTCACGAAGAAGTGTCAGGTGAGATAGCTCCAGACACCTGACAGATACTGGCAGGTGAGCCACCACGCAATGCAACATCAATTTGTTTCTGGAGAGCAGGGCCTGGCCTTTCTGCCCAGAGAGGGTATGTGTGCACCTACAGGGTGTGGAATTATTTTAGGGTGACTGAGAAACATGGTACTTCAAATCAGAGAGCAGAGAAAAAAATGTGTTCTTCGGTTTGGGGTACATATCACCCAAATACAATTTTTATAGAAAAAAAAACCCCACCCAACGTGTTCCTAAATATTGAAGGGAATGTGTCCATCCTTCATAATGGGACTGCTGTCTCAAATAGTCATCTAGAGACGTGTGCTCTCATAGACAAAAGCAATCACCACCCCCCGCCCCCAAGAAGCTTTCTTGTAACAGCTTCTAAAAAGTGATGTTACCCAGCCACTACCTCACTGCCTTGCACCTTGACCTCCTCCCCCCCACCTTCTCCTCAGGCATCAACACAACACAGCTCAGCTTTATTTCCTCACAGAACACATTGCCTAGCTGAAGACCACCTCCACCTGTGCCTGCAGCTCATGCTTCTCCCACCAGCACTGGCACCTGCACAGACATGTACACACCTGTCCCAAGAACAGACCCTACCTGTGTTCCAGGGAACAAAGGAATCCCAGGCAGAGGATCTCACCCCTTCTCTCACTCTACTCCCACAGCATGGCATTTCCAATAAAATATTTGCAAACACACAGACACACAAGCTGTCAACACCACCAAGTCCTGCCTAGGGGGTCTTACTTTGTTACATTTTGCGTGGCACAATGAGCACCTGTAAACTCTGCCATTCCCAGAAGCCCTGAGAGCAGGGCACAGGTGAAGTCACATCTCCACAGTGTCACTAGAGTCTCCAAAGCCCAATGCAGTGCCAAGCGACATGCAGCTGTTTTTTCAGAAACAGAGGCAGAAGAGGAGGCAAAGAGAGAAGCCACTGTGGACACTGGAAGCTTGTTTGCTCTTTCAGAATTCTATCAGGAGATGAGCTAAGAGACCTTTTGCCACACGCATGTAACTTACTGGCACACCTGATCTGATTTCCAAATGTGATCTCTAACAGTCCATGCAGGCTGCTCTGCAAAATTAGCAGTGTCAACCCCAGTTTTATTTGGGTTATAGCCAAAAATCACTCCTGTGCAAGGATCACTCTGTCCCAATAAATATCACACCATATTTACATATGCATCAAACCCACAGTTCGGCAAAAAAAAGTTAATTCACCCAAGAGCGCTTTGATCCTCTGACAAATCATTTCCTGATTAAAGCTGAAACAACAAAAAGGACTTTGGACACCAACCAGCTGTCACACTTGTGTTGTGAGCTGGCACTAAATCCCACAAAGCCTGGGAGGAAAGATTTAGGTGGTGGGAGGAGAGCAAACGGTCTATTTGCATTCACAGCATGTGAGAAGTTCCTTCTGGAAAGACAATTCCTTCTCTTGCTACCTATCTGAAGCAAGCTAACAGAACAGGGATCCATCAAAACTCACCAAACAGAAAGCAAGCAATTGTAGGACGCTTTGGCAGTACTGAAGTATTGCAAAACTTGTTGGATGTACTACAGCTGGGGGTGTTGTGTGTTAAGAGGAGTTTTTTGTTTCTGGCTTTTTTTGCTTTGCTCTCCAAAGGATGCTTAGAAACTGAATAATTTCCAAACGCAATGACCCATTCGAAACCTTTGGGCCCGAGTTAAATGAGAAGAAAACAAAATAATAAGCTTAAGAAAGATCTGAGACAGCAGCTGGGAAAAATGAAGGCAGAGCTGAGGTTTAGTAGTTATCTCCTTTTTTTCCTACTAAAACGAAGTACTCACAGTTACTTGTAACCATAAAAAAGAGCCCTGATGCTAGCAGACTTCTTTCAACATTGTTCATCAGATAGTCTCTCAGTTACTAATATTTTTCCGTGTTTCTATTGGCAAATAGAACATTTGGCAATTAAAAAGAAATGCAGCTTGGGGGGATGCAGATTAGAAGCATATTTTGCTACATAGTTCTGGTATGATGAACTCTTAAAAAAAAAACCACCAACAAAACCCAAACATTATTAATCCAAGGTGTTGAAAGAAACAGTCCACAGAACGAAATAATTTCTTCTAATCTGCAGCCTCATTTTAACTGATGTGTTTTATTGCCAGTCTTTGAGAAATTGGTTCTACAATCTCATCAAACCAATAGGCCATAATACACAAAATAAAAGAGACTGACTAACCCTTGAGATGCTTTTGGTATCTTGGTATTTATTAACTTACTTTTACTAGAGATGCTGTAGAACTGAACTTCTGAAATCTCTCCTTGTAACAGACTCCTTACTTTTCTATTCTTTCTCATTAAAACAAGTTTTCTCGACAGGCAGTCTCAGATGTGCTGCTTGACCTGCCACCTGCCTATTTCCAACTAGATCAGTATCTTCAAACTTCGCAGCACAAAGGGACCAACTTGATAAAACTCCTGCCTGGCACTTTGAACTGCCTAACACCAGATCCAGAGCTGACATTACTGCAAGCCTTTCACAGGGCTCTGTTGTGATGCAAATAAAGTACAATCCCCAGACACAAAAAAGTCATTAAACCGGAATTAGGAGTTATAAGTAACTGGCAAGCTGAAGGCAAATCTGGGTTAAAAGGAGCGCCAAGGAAAGACCTACAAAGAAAGTGGGAAAGGCTGTTTATAAATACACTTCAGCAAACAAACAGGTACGAGGACCGCACTGCTCTGCAGCTCGCACCGCAGGCTCAGCCGGCTCGGCTCCCACTGCCGGAGCCCTGCACTCTCATCACCCTTCTGGCCCTAAGATGGGCGGACTGTGCCGCCCAGCCCTGCCCAGCACCGGCAGCATTTTAACCATTTTAACTCTGCAGCCCCCGGCTCAGCCCGGCGCCACCCTGGCCAGGCTAATGCCAGCAGCAAGCGCACAAGTCCGTGTGCGACCTGCAGCCACGGCCAGCCGAGCCCCAGCAGCTCCCAGCTGCTGACCAAACAGGGAATTGAGCAAACTGGGCAACAGCAAACACTCACATGCTATTAGGTCAGGAGTTAAAATATCTCAATGACCTGCAACTTCCACCATGAACAAGGGCTGATAAATGACAGAGCCTTAGGGAATATAAACTCAGCTACAAAAACCCCATCCAGGCTCTGATGCAATTTCTGTCACTTCCAATAGAAAGCAAGACAAAAGTAAGGAGGGTTTTCCTTCATTTTGGAACAAAAAAAATTTAAAATCATGATGTAAAATGAAGTTTTCGAGAAGGCATCAAGGAAGTGAACGGGTCTAACAGAGACTTTCTAGATCAGAGAGAAGCTCAGCATGTCAGTATAGCAGGACAAACACTTCCCCTTTTTTCATGGTAAGCAGCCATGGAGCTAGGAACCTCTTTGCCTGTAACTCCATCTTCAACATCAGCACTAATCACCTCATCCATCAGCACCATCCAGTTTGAGTCCTGACTGGGCCATCCAAGATGAATTACAAATCAATCACACAGCACAAGAGCCATCTTTCCACAGTAGCAAAACATAATTCATATAGGAAGAGTTCCAACACAGGCTGGGCTATTCCTGACCCAGAATATATGCAGTCCTGTAACAACTAGCTGTGAATTAGTATTTTAACATTGAAAGGAAATCAGGAGATCTGTAAAAAAAAAAAAAAATATATATATATATATATATATATAAATTAGCCTAGAAGAGTGTCCACATCTAAGAAAACAGCAGATTCCTGCAGCAAGCAGGAAGAGCTTAAAAGAGCAAGTACATGCTCTGTACCACAGGCACAGCTGGTTACAGCCCATGGTCAGACCAGAAGGCAGTGAGGGGGCTAATCCACAGCCCCCTCGACCTAGATGCAAACAAGAGTGCTCACTAAAGCAAGCGTGGCACTTTAAGCATTTGTGCCGTGACCCCTGGCCACTATGTGGTTTATCCCAGGCTGTATTTGCTGAGAGGAAGAAAAAAATGCAAGTTCTTAGACACTCAGGGACAAGACAAGGTCATGCCAACATTCCTTACCAGAAAAAGTTCTCTCTGCACACTGCCAAGAAGTAGTATGAATACCTTTTATTAGCTACACAAACTTTCTTTGCAATGCTGAGTCTTGAACCTGGTACCAAGAACAGTCCAGTATATCTTTTTTAATTTCCAAACTAGAACATTTTGTAAGACTGCAACAGCCATAAAAGTCATGGCAGTCACCCACTGCTGCTGTGTTACAGTGAGAGGCAGCTGTGTCTTCCCTCCCCTCACTTCCAACGACAAGAAAAGGAATTGCACTACTGGCTCATTACTCCTGCTCCTGCAACAGCCCCATGAGACAAAGTTCAAAACTAGCAGAAATCTGATGACAGGCTGAAAATGTGAAGCAAAGGACAGTTTCTCAAGAAAAAGTTATACTTGTCAGATTAGACAGAGGAGCCTGAATTCTGTCAGAGACAGCTCTTTCACTTCTCCCTTTTATTTCTTCCATTTTCTTCTTGGTGACCCCCCCACCCCTTTTCTGTATTGTCTTAGAGACTTTGATTGAACAGAGCAAGCATTCAGGAGCAGGGTGAAAGAGAAAGAGCAGGCATGACTTGATGGGCACTGAACAAAGTGTGCACTAGATAGAAAAGCTACAGGAAATAAAAGGAGTCCGGAGAGTTGAGACAGAGGAATAGCAAAAGCATGAGAACAGCCAAGATGCTTCACAGACATGTCTGGGCAAATGTTCAAGGCCACGAGGTAAAACTACCAGAAGCCAGGAGTTACATTATGGTTCTTTGTACTCCAGTAAAACCTACCCTGAACATCTCCAGGGAGGGATTCATGGGCAACACCACAACTTCCACTCAGTAAGTACTCAGAGGTGGAAGAACCAGCTGTGTTAGACATCCATGACTCCCCTAATCCCTCTTAATCAATAGGCAGCTGGTAATCAACCTGAGTTAAGATGAGGCAATGGGCACAGATGGGCAATGAACTCACAAGCTTAGTCATGAATGTGGCTCGCCAGCACAGACTAGTTAGAGCTGTGCATTGAACATGTTTAACCTCCAGTATCAAAACCAGTATTTCTAGCAGGGATATTTTCAGTCTCTTCATATCTCTGCAATGCAGTCAGAAACTTTCTGGTAAATCTCAGAATTATTCACCTCATTCTCCAAAACCAGCAGGAAGTTGATTTCAGTTTTTCTGAGAAGACTGTGTTGAAACCCATATTGCCATGAACTGCTTGGGCTATCCTGCTCTGGGCATGTGATGTTCTCTGTGTGGCAGGCTGAGCCGGTGGGCAGAAGTACCATTTTCAGGTATTTGACTTGAATTTACCTCTGTATTCAAGTCAAAACCACCTTGGCCATGGTCAGCCTCTTTCTTGCAAAAGCCAGGATAACATATTGCAGTTAAATCTGTACCTGAAAGCCACCATTGCTTTAATTAGATTCAGTCAAATCCAGGTCTTTGCAGTCTAGACATGGTTTAGCAAGTGCTTTTATGTGAGTAATTCGTTGAGAGAGAACACATGTTAAGTTCTATTTGGAGCTTACCTCAGTTTTGGCAAAAAAATATCTGAATTTTGACAGGCCAAACACAGCCCAACCTAACCATTCAAGCACTGGTCCAAGGGAAGATTTTACTGACAAAGGAAGGAAAATGTTCCTCCTTGGGCCTAATGCTTTTCCAAAGTTTAGCCCGCCACAAAAGGCTTTTCCATTCAGAGCAAGAGCATTAAACAGGATGATTTTGCAACACAGCACAAAAATTAATCTTGAGGCAATAAAGAATACAGACTCCATCCCTTACTCTGGCCCCTCCTGCAGTCTCTGTAATACTCTGGGTTTCAGACAAAGATCCAGGGGTTAATAAAGAAAAAAATACATAGGGAGTAACTACTGCTTCTGATCTATAGTACATACACACTGGTCACACACACATTTACAGCAACTTTATGCAGGAATGTCAGGGCAGCCTCGTGGCTTGACAATTTCTGCACTGAAATCAAAGTGATGAGATGCTCCATCTCCAACAAGGCCAATTTCACTAAGCTTTAATATAAATACAAAATGGCTGTTGGCTGACAGAAAATTTAGTGCTCCTAGATGTGTATAAATACATTATTGCTATTTTTTATTTCCTCAAAGAATCTCTGGCTTAGCAGTAGTAAGACATGGGAAACAGCCCAGTTTCTGAAGACAAGATGTGCAGGAAAGTGCCTTACATACCCAGCTGGTTCTTCCACAGGGCAACACCAGCATCACAGGCCAGACAATCCTCCTCCTTGCAACGAGACTATCTCAGCACAGATGAAAGATTAGCTGTAACTGGACATTGTGGTAAAAGAATATTAGGCAGTTTAATTAACAGCTGTATTTGAATGAACCAGTATGCATAAAGCAACCCATAAATTGTCTCATTTTCACTCAGACTTGAAGACAATTGTTACTTTCTGAAACACAGTACGGAGACAACCCTGGCCCACTTTTGTGATGCAAATTAGCAAGTTGCTTGGAGGAAAAGGTGGGGAGGAAAAGTCTTCTAACTGAAATTACAATGAAACTTCCTCCCTTCACAATGGTCACAGACACCAGCTCCAGTGGTGTATCCTCCAGGACCCCAACATTCTCCTTCAGCCCATGCACAGCCAAACCTCTGGTCCGTGACTGCACACTCTCCTCACTGCTGCATCCATCTGCCATCTCACTCACTTGCAGTCCCCAAATAGACCTTGAACCACCCAGAACAGCCACCACGCATGTTAAACTGGGGGACATAAACTGCTGCTCTTCCATGAAGATGTAGCTACAAGACAACTTTTTGCCCAAGCAGTAACAGCCTGCAAAGCAAAACACCATCCCAAATGAAATGTGGCTCAGGAATGTGAGCTATGTGGGCAGGGGGGCTCTGATGGATAAAAAGGGAGGACAGGAGCAGGCAGGCTGCTTTCACAACAGTGGTTTCCTCGCCAGAGCAGAGGACCAGCTTAGCTGCCTCCCTCATCCCGCTGTGTGCACGAAGAGCTCGGGAATGTGAACAATGTGGACTAGGAGCCAGGGGGCTTTGCTGCCCGGGAGAGAGGGGTGGGAGGGGGTACCAGGGGAACAACACAAGAAGACCAAGAGGCAGCTGGGGTTGCTGAGGAGTTGTAGGGCTCCTTTTAGGGGGAGGGACGATCTGTAGAAGGGTCAAAAGGCTCAGCTGCAGCTTGCAAACCAACAAAGGTCCCTTCCTGTCCCAGTCACCCTGTGCTTGTGGAAACAAAACTTCAAATGTAGCTTTGCAATAAAACTGTCATTAATCTCCACCAGCTAAAACAAACTGCAGGCTCTCCTGTATTTTTGGCTAGTTGCTGGCATGAAAAATATACCAGCATTAAGACTAATAAGTCCATGCACTTAACACTTCCCGAGCCAGAAATTTAATATTCAGCTGTACATGCACAAACCTTCCCTCCCCCAGGCTAACAAAAGATGGAATTGCTACAGGTAACAACAGCCCTGAAACTCTCTCAAGTGTACTTCAGCCAACACCAAAACAATGTGAACAATATTCTGTCAACTGCTTATTTAAAGATTCTTGAACAACTCCATTTTATTTCTACCACCTTTTCTTGATCCCCACATCCCAGTCCTACCACTAAGTGATGGAGCACAGCCTATCTGTCTGGAGCAGCAGCCTGCCAGGAGGTGCACCTCCCACTCCGGCTGGAGCCTGGGTGAGCACCCATCTCCTTAGCACGCCTCCCGCACAACTCGTGACAGTCATGATGTGTGCATGGATACAAAGAGAGGTTTGTTTTCCTTAAATTTCCTCACTGAGGAGGCTCCCGGCAGACATTAGTATTTTCGTCGATGTGACCCTGCAACATTGCTTAAAAACCTGACAGTGGGCACAAGCAGCAGTAGTGATGGGATGAGAAACCGCAGTAAAAACACAAAGGAGACAAAGACCCAGTGCTAAATCACAGATGGGATCAGGACCAAGGCAACTTCCACTACACACATCGGAACCCTTGCCTACTCAAAAAAAACAAAAAAAAAAACCAAAAACAAAACAAAACAAAACAAAACAAAAAAAAACCACCACCACCACCACCACCACCCCCATGCATAAAGCAGCTGGTAACACCACAAAAACAAAGAAAGAAGCATACATCAAGTTTGCCAGCCCAGTTAAACGATGCTGACAAGATTCCTAAACTGCAGCTAATCATGCCTACATCATTTCCAGCACCGCTTTGTTTCAGAGAGATTTCACCTTGGTCTTGCAGATGATGATATCTCATCTTCAAATGTTACTGACTTGTCAGGCACAGAAAGCTGCCTGAGCAGGCTTCTGGTAAAATGTAAGTTGAGAAAATGGTCAGTGATGCCAGAGTAAGACTAGCATTCATCTGAGAGCTCATCAAGCCTTCAAGAGCTCATCATCAGGGGAAAAAAAAAGCAGCAGCTTGAAAGTTTAAGAATAAGTTCAGCCCCACATATCAGGAAGGAATGGAACTTAAGCTAAAAATCTCTTCTTGAATTGCATTTACTAAGTCTTAAGATTAGTCTGGGAAAAAGACTATTGTTTAAAAAGTGAAGTTATTAATTGAAAAATGTGAAGTGTGGTTTTAAAAAAAACCACCATAAAGCAGCTTAATTCTAATCATGTTCCTGTAAATCCAGACTGAGCACCTGAAAAGAGCCAGATGACTTTCAGTGCCTTAAAAAAATGGAAAGAAAAAAACAAAACCTGTCTCCCCTGCTCAGGAACTGAAGCATTTTACAGGTTGGTTTGGATCTTTCCCCCCCTCTCTCTTTTTTGATTAGTTTGTGCAAAACTAGGTATTACAAACAGTTTAGAGCAACTTCAAAACTTACCTTTCTATTAAGTTAATTGTGAAGCAGTTTCAGAACTGAGTAGTAACAACTGCTTTTCATTCAGCAAGCCCATTTTCTGTTGCTAGACTCTACAAGACAAAGCGCTACTGCCAGACAGAGAGCTGGAAAATACAGAGCAGCAAGAGAAGGGCTCTGAAAATCACAGGAGGCTATAGAAATTCTGCTTCAGTATAGCTGTAAACTCCCACCTTGGCTAAGCTGCATGATATTCCATAACATTCAGATCAAGTTTTGACAACAGTCCTCTGCCTTGTTAGGATCTCTCCAGCCATTCTGCACCCATCCTTTACTTCTGCTCTCTTGTGCACTTAAACGACACAGAACAAAAAAACTAAGCCTGGCCTGCCAAATTACTTCTGCTTCCTGTCCCTGTTTGCCCCAGAAACCCAATTACAAAGTTAACTCATGCTAATGGAGCCTGAAGGGACGTGCACTCACACTCAGCTACATGACAGGTCGCAATGAATGAACAGCCTGATTTTCACCCTGGTTTGGTATCTGAAATGTAAACAATGCACACTGAAGTTATCTATTGCAGAGTAGCAGATACATCTGGGTGTATCTGCGGCTAATTGGAGTGAAAAGTCAGATTCCAACATATGAGTCACTACCCACTGAAGCACTCTCCTTAAAAACAAAACAAACAAACAACCCCCCCCCAGTAGGATTGACCCCTGATAGAAACACCAGTTTCTGCCCTGAAGAAAGATTCAGCTAAACTAAACATCTCTTAGTAGGTTTTTTGCTGGATCTATTGAGGTAGACGCACCCTGGGTGGGGGGAACAAACCTCTGTTCTCGTGCAGCCCTCCAAAAACTGAACTGCAGAGGGAAGTAGATTATGTCTTAATGTATCAGTGTACTAACACTGCAAAGGATACTGAAAAATCTAAACAGTACAACCTGTTTACTAACAGGTGTGTTAATAACAAAGCACTGGTCAGAAAATAGCCACAATCTTAACTTGCGTTTACCAAGCTGCAAAACTGAGAAGTTTTGATTTCTGATTTCATTTCTGTTGGAGGTCTGGAAACTGGGAGAAAAATTCTGCAATATTGTTTCCTTTAATAACTATTCATGAATCAAGTGCCCGTGCTTTTGTCTCAAGATAAGTATCTTGATTGTCCTCTGTTACTTTTTGTATTCTAATTTTAAAACACTCAAAAGTGTCTACATAAATAGAAAGGCTCCCTAGTCTAAATCTAAATATTACTTTCTCGAATCACTGCCCTTATTGGCACATTCCCTCTGGAGAAACACTGAAGAGCCACATAAAACACTTCATTTCTCTATCCGAACTAGATTAGTTTGGTATAACTCTCGGAGATCCTCTGCATCGCGATATGCTGAGACAGAGACGAAAAGAGCATCTTTCGCAGAGAGTTCATTATTGTCTGAGGTCCTTGGGGGGCTTTTTGGCACAACTGTTCCAAAATAGCTCAAGAATGAGCACCAGCCTTCTCTCATTTAGCAGCTCATGAAGTGAATGAAAACAGTGTGATGGAAACCCCACCATGCACAGCCATGTTTATGCACCTAAACAAACACATTCAACCTCTGACACTGTCTCACTTCAGAGAAGACTTACAGCCGTTAACTGGGAAAGCAGTTGTGGTCAATAATAATAATAATAATAAATAAAAATAAATTGATAAATTAATAAATTAATAATAATAATAATAATAATAAAAATTAAGGATCGGAATAGCTGGGAGAAGATAATTGATTTAAACTAAACTCTTCATCTTTGAGACTAACAGGTTGCAGGCTGGTAGCATGATGAGTAGAAAATGCAAGGCAAGGAGCTCTCCCAGTCCCACCCACAAAGCTTTGATGATCAGCACTTCTGATCATCATCTGCCGAAAGATTTCTAATGGACCAAAGTTTAAAACACATCACATGGATCTCCAACTGTTCACAGGCTCGGGAGGCAATCACAGCACCGTGGTTTCATGCCTATTAATTTCCAACACATCCCGGTACTACCGCTGAGGCTTCCCACCCTCTCATGCTATGTTGGCACAGCCCGTGGGACACTGTGCACACATCAAATAGCGGGGGGTGAGGGGAGGGAAGGACGTACTCTGGCACGTTTGTTTCCAAACAGATCAGTGTTCCAATCTGTTTTGTCCCACAGCCACATTAATATTAGCACCAACAGAAAGAAGGTGTCAGCAAAAGTGCAAGAAAAGAGCTCGCTGCTTTCAGCCAGGCACAGATTTTACAGCCCACCTGCAGCCCCTGTGGCACAGGCAGAGTCAGCAGGAAAGAGCCAGGAGGTGTAGAGACTGGTATGGGTGCTGAATAAAACAAACATTTCTGGCGCCACTCGGCAATTCATGGTGCAAAATTACCCGAGTCAATCTGGGCAGCATCCTCCCCCTCAGTAATGACATTGCAGAATTGGGTAGGGATCAGAAATACTTACAAATCATGAAAGAAGCTTCAAAAAGACAGTTCAATCTTTAACAGACCAAATGACATTATTTGGAAGGAGCTGGTGGATTACATAAAATAAGGAACAGTGCATAAAAGCTAAATCAGTATTTGTCCTTATGTCAAGAATTGTTATCAAGCCATACAATTAGGAGGCTGAAATGTGTGCACACATGCTACAAAACTAATTGTGAGGTGCATAGCAGTTACAAAGGCTATCAACTCAGTGAGACCAAGAGAAGGACTTGTGTGGATTTGGAAGGATTTGTGTGGTATCAGCCCTATCTGGAGCTAAGCTGAGGAATACTACCTGAAGTAGGAAAAAAGTAGGAAAGAAAGGTCCAGGGACTTAGGGTTTAAAAGTCAATGTTACCTAATTACAGACTCATACAAGACATACAGGATTGATTAACCCTCATCAGTCTTAGGCATATGAGTACCTCACATTTGATAAAGATCTCGTACAGAAACCTCTCAACCCAAAGCAGCCTTACTAAGGCTAGTGCCTTGTCCAATAACCAACATTTTGACTGTTTGCATCTTCCTGGAAACCTCAGCAGCAGTGTAACCCACTCCTGCCACGGCACTACTGTTTAATGTAAATGCACTCGACTCTTTGAGCCCAGAAGGTGGTAGACCAGTAAACAAAGTAAGGTCCCTGGGAGGAGGAAAGGGTACCTTTGGATAGCGAAGAACTCAATAGTAAATCCTTCTGAATTTCTGCAACTTAGGCCATCTCCAGGCAGGAAGGACATCCTCAAATTCAGAGCACTAGCACAGGATGAAACAGGCCTAACATATCACCAGGCCAGCACAAACCACCAATCCGTCCCCTAAGTGTGGTGGCACAAACATCTGTCCAAGGAACCCGGTGAGGTGCCCCCACTGCCCTCCTGGACGCCAACCACCTGCAAACACCACAGAAAGCTGTCTGTAGCTCACGGCATACACAGCTGCAGAGAAGATGGAAAAACAGACTTATTACACATATAGGAGCCTTCTCTGACTGACACCTCTTTGTCTTGAGCTGTGTGTGCCACACAGCAACATCCCAGTGCTCCAGGACAGCACAGACACCTCTGTGTCTGTGTGAGGAATGGAACACAGGCACCATCCCTGAGCCCCAGGCAAGCTGGGACACCCCCAGCGCCCAACATCTTCCCACCATCACCTTCCCCAGAACATTTTCTGGAGATGCCTTGTTTTAGGGAAAGGTAGTTACAACCCCCAACCCGTCAGGGCAGGTATCAGAGTCTACTTTTGGCTCCTGTGTACAACAGTGAGCCCATACACCAGAAAAGTATGTGAACCGCAGTTAAGCTTTTGAAAAGACCAGACTCAGTTTGACGATGCTTATCCACAATTAAGTTCCAACTGATCTTGTCAGACTCCTCTGTCTTCAGTCTACTCACATCTCTAAAGAATTAAAGGGACATTGAAAACATGCATTCATGACACATGTTTAATTGTCAGCTGTCCTTCCTTAGTACAGCTCTAATTAGAAATCAGAAACACATTTTTGAGCTCAGAAAGACACAAAAAATTGGCATGAACTGACAAGGGAAGCCTGGGAGTCCTTTAAGTCCAACAGGATGCCGCCTTCTAAGTTATGCGTTAGCCAAACTAGTCATTGAGCTTAATACAAGGTTAAGAGCCCAGAGCCTGTGACAGCCCAAAAGAGAGATCAGATGCTCTTGCCACCCTTCCTGAATGACAAATTTTTCTCATTACTGTCAAAGCTCAGAAAGCATTTCCCGTATTCACTACAGCACATTACAAACTATTTTCTTTTTTCCTCATCATGGACAAGTACACCCTTAATGGTGAAAAAGTGACTATCACCACATACATCTTTCTGCTATCCGGAGTTTGCCAGGGAACCCTTGGCGAAGTACAAATATAAACATGGCCTGAATCACTATTCAAATTTAACCACAAGTCTCAACACTAGTGTCATGACTGCAGATACAGTTTCCCAAGTAAGATACACAGCAGAATTCAGAATTAGACAACATGCTAGATAGACCTTACAAGTATCATTCACAATACAACACTGCTAGGAAAATATATAAACTGAAAAAAAAAATTATGCCAATTTTTCATTCCTGACATGTATTTATTTCTCTTCAGGTACCAGTCTTTTGATAGCTGGCAACAGTCATAATTTGTATGTTATTTTCCTTCAATATATAGCCTCTATAATGGGAACAAGAGACAACTGTGGAATGTCAGAGTTGGCAAGCCTAAGTAGTTTCCCTTGAGATGCTTAAATGCCTTTTTACAGCACTGCCAATTATTCAACCGTGCAAGCAGATACTATTAAGATACTTAAAATGAATCATTTCCCACTAGACTCAAATACATTATAAACCTCACCATAAATATCAATCTCTAGTCAAGATGAACTTATTTAATAATGTTCATAAGTACTTTTATTTCAAAAAGGCCTGTGAAATATGATTATATACATAAGGTTCATAAAAATACAATGTGATTTTTAGGTATTTTTATGCAGTTAAAAAAAAAGACTTCTCAAATAAATTCTGTGAAAAATTACAGCTGGCATTTCAAATCATCTACAAATTACATCTTTAAGAAGTTAGGTGGAATAAATTATTGGGAAGCAGTTCATTGCTACTTCTTGTTGCAATTCCACATGAACTCCTCCTCATCATTGCAACATGAAAACCTAGTCATCAGATTAACACTTGTCATCTCGACACAATCCACAATAATTTTAGATAAAGTTCATGCTTGTGCACATACACACACACAAGCTTTCAAGCCACTTTCCAAGTTCTATGTTTCTTCCTTTTCTAAATAAAGTGCAGAGGACAATTTAGATGGACAAACAGTACAAGCAATGACGCCTGAAACACCTCCTTTGGCCCATTAGTCAATT